ATTCAGTGTGTGTTATTTGGGACGAGACCCAATCAGCGGCCCTATTACCTGATAGAATATAATAACTGATGTTCAGGGAGAACTGAACCAGATTATGGTCTGATGATAATTCATCCAGCACAGAAATCACAAGAGCACAAGACATCCAGTACAAGAGGTTTTAGTTAACGCCATTAATTCATTGTATATTATTACATGGAAAGCAAATGGTTTGTTATGCAAAGTTCAATAAACTTCGAGATTTTGTAAATAAGTACAGCCCCGATTTACTTTTTCTACAAAAAACCAAACTTAGACAGGTACCAAAATTAGTATTTGCCACGTTAGCACTTATCATTCTAATAGAGTCATCAACACTCATCCACGAGGTGGAGGTACTGCTCTTGTTGTCAAGCGCCCCGTTCCTCACTCCAGTATCACAACGTTCAGCTATCAAGACCACAGCTATACTAACATCACTTCCAGCACAACACTTACATACACTTTTGTCTCTACCTATATACCTCTCAATCGTCGCCCCACAACATGCTTCTTCTGACCTGGATGTTTTGCTCCCTCTCAACAATCGAGTCATGTTAGGTCGAGAAGACACTGCGCACAGAACTGCGACAATTCCAATGATACAAGAAAAAACGTTTTCAATTTGGCATAGTCTGCCAAGATACGAATAGAAGCTCCACCCACCCTATCACGGTATAACGCTAGTTCCAGTAGAATCATAGATTTCTTCTTGATCAGAAATATAAGTTATCCACTGGATATTTCTGCGCTGGATGAATTATCATCAGACCATAATCTGGTTCAGTTCTCCCTGAACATCAGCTATTATATTCTATCAGGTAATAGGGCCGCTATTACTATTTGGCAAAAATTTTCCAAAGCTCTAAACAACACTCAGTATACGCTTCTGAAACAGTGTACACGCTTCTGAAACACTCATTACACGCTTGTGTTGAAACTGAAAATAAAATGAGCAATTTATCAATCGAATTACTCGCAGCATGAACTTTAGACAAACTAGCAATAATTTTACGAATAATAGCAACAATTATTAGCAGGCACCATTAAATATGTGACTGAGCTTTTTAAAGACTTTCAAAATGTCCGCAAAGAACCTTGTTTGTTTTTTCGGCATTGTGCCAAGCTTTGAATTCAGTGAGAAAGCCTGGGAGAAAAAATTACAAAGTTATGGTTCCCAAAATGGTTTTCGGTTTGCTTTATCTTGATTGGATAAAGCGTTTATGTGTGTGCCTCCAACAGTTGTGTGATGTAAAATCATATGACGAGAATAAATTTGGAAATGACGCACCTTAGAGGATTTTATAACAAACAATTACTGCGTTTAGAACAAAAAGGGGAAACAGACAATTTAAAATGAAGTGTTAAGTGACAATTAAGGACAAATTAAAAAATCAATAGCCAATTTAAAATGAAGTGTTAAGGGACAAATAAGCACAAATTAAAATTAGCATTTTACATGCTTTTTACCTTATATAAAATTTGCATACAGTTTACAGTTTAAACGCCGTTAAAAACAAAGGGAAAGACTTATCCAAGTAAAGTTAATATGGGCAATGTACATTAATAGAAAAATAAATTATCGCGATCCTAGAACAGCAGGAATCCTTAGTAAGGTGAAAAACTTCAGGGTAAGGCAGAAATAACCCCAACATTTTCAAAGAGGGATTGAAAAAAATGCTAGGAGGTATCACTAGAAACTTTTTATTTCCTAAATGTTGATATATATTTTTTTTAAAGTTTTAAAACTTATACCGTTCAGATGATGGTCTTGATGGTAATATACATTTATCATAATGAATAAGAATTTTTGAGCCGTTTTAGGACATTTCCCATCACTCTCATTAGCATGCGGGGGAAATTCCTCCAATTTCTTCTTGAATAGCCTCCTTTAGTCGGTCCGATAGTCCGATAGTTAGTTGGGATAGACGATGTTTAAAATCTTGGCACTGAGGTGCATTCAAAGAAAAAAATCATAGAGACTAGGCGAGCGCGGTGGCGGCGAAACTGCTTCGCGTAAGTAGACCCTCGATCCGGAAACATTTCCTGGGCTCTAGCTCCATCCTGTTGGCACCAGAAGTCCTCTGCATTGTCTTCTTTCTTATGCTCTTCAATTTCTGGTCCCAGAAAATTCTCCAACACGTTGCAGTATCGATTGGAATTCACATTAACTGTGACTCCATCCTCTTAAGCAAAAGTAAGGCTCAATGACGCCTATAGACGACACAGCAAAGCAAACGGTTACTTTAGGGATGTGAAGAGATCGTTCGTGGAATTCTCGAGAGTTTTCAGCAGCCCAGTAGCAAAGATTTTATTTGTTCTCTGTGAAAGAAAGGTGGAAATAGAATTCTTCGTTATTCGACAGAATGCCAGTGGGAGACACAGCTGCGAAGATTCCATTGCAGCAATCCATACGTCTTCCCCAGTGTGCTAGAGACAATTCCTGACAAATCATAATCTTGGTGAATGTAAATGAAAGTCTGTATATGTGCATGCGACATGCGACATGCGACGGAGGACGTGGGCACCACTCCTCTACCAATACGGTTAATCGGTATAGCGCCACGTCCACCTTTATCTAGATAATCATACGTGTTCATTGTGCTAATATACTAATATATAAACATACATACAAATTTGGTACTTCATACAGTGGCGTTAAAGCTAATTAATGTTAGACACTGGATAATACATTGCCATGTTACAACGTGTATGCAAAAGCATGGATACGATAGCATATATACATAACGTGTGTACTCATATGTTGAGTACACTATGACCCTGACCCTTTGAAGCATTATCATTAGATTACAGAAGACATGTACATACTGAAATATTAGGTGCGCAATGTTATGCTGGAATAAGTAATTAGTACAGTGAATTAAAAGTTAGACCCTAGATTAGTACTGTGTAGTACAGTGTCTTTGGTGCAATTAATTTTAGAGTGGGGCTCTAGTTAGTTCTTTGCGATACGGTGCCGTGTTACAGGATAAAATGTGCAGATGCATAGTTACATTATCATATATACAGAACATAAATTCATATACATATATACAGACACATTAGGTACATGATTATTCAGTGCGTAATAGATGTATATTAACTATACAGTGCCAAGATATGTGATAACACTAGTAGATACATGGGTACAATTACATATAAACAAGGACATACACAATTACATATAGACAAAAGCGTATATACGCTTATATTTTGGTACACAATAGTCATTGGTGACATAAACATTTCGTACTTACTTCATATACTGAAACTCTAGATCCATAAAATAATGTTATAACTAGTAATAGTAATAGGTGCTTATTTAATTTCATAATAGGACACTACGTTGATATTTTGCGTTACTTACTGTGTCACGTTACGTAGAAATGTATGCGGGTGCATGGGTACAGCTTCCTATTTACAATGCTATACTGTTTTCTTATTTACAATGCTATACCTATTTACAATGCTTATATCATTCGATTTCATAATCAATAGGTACATGGCACATTTATATACATGAGCAGATGGTACATTGTAGAGTGCCGTTGAGGATAATTGATGCAATTAATTTTATAGTATTTTAAAAATAATGCATTTATACGCAATTATAGGGTGTATAATTGTCATTGGGTACATATACATATTCATATATTAGTTTCTTAATACAATGCTAGGGCAAGTAATTGGTGCTGTTATTTTTACATGTTACATGATGCTGTAGGCAATTGGATGGATAAACTAATATATATACTAATATACATATACACAACTTTTAGGCACATAATAATCACTAGATTCTCAGACATTAGGTACATGGTATACATATACATATATAAACAGATGGTTCATAATACAGTGCTATGGAAAGTAATAAATGCAGTTAATTTTATAGTAAAATTCTAGTTTAACACTATGCGAAACGGCTTCATGTTACACAGTGTTAAATACTGACGCATGAATACAGTAATATTTCTACTTGTTAATACTATATATATATAAAAATATACAAATATTTTTAGGTGCATACTTAACATAGGATACATAATTATTAGATGCACTATGCATATACGTACATAATACATAAGATTAGTACAATGCTGGAACAATTCATTGGTGCTGTTAGTTTTAGTGTAAGATCCTAGTTTAACGCTATGTGGTACAGTGCCATACTACAGGATGATATGCGCGGAGCCATGGATGCAGTTATATACATACTAAAACACGTATACACAATTATTAGGCACGCAGTAATCATTGGATTTATAAGCATTAATATACATGGTACATATACAGACGATACATAATATATAAACAAATATATATATAATAATAATGCTATAGAAGTTAGTTAATGCAATGGGGTTTTTTAGAATTAAGACTTTAGATTAACACTATGCGGTAAAGTGTCATGTTGCGTGATGTTATATTCGGATGCATGGTTACATTATCATATATACGAGGATATATATACATATTATTAGGCACATAGTAATCATTGGGCTCACAATCTTAATGCACATAGTGCCTTAGTCTCGTGGACTTGAAAGTACGTAATAAGGTTCAAATGGTGCTATTAATTTGATGATGCTAAATAATATTAATACAATAATGCAGCAATGATTAATACAGTTAATGATCAATACAGTAACATTTATACTAGAACATATATATACAAGTACAAGGCGCATAATTACATTGAGTATAGAAGCATTGGGTGCATTATACATATACATACATAAAACATAACTACATGGTGATGGTACTTAAGATACATTTATAAACAGGTACAGATGGTCCTTATTTACATATTGCGGTACAGATAATAGACATAATTCGTTTGGTTGGCATAATGCAAATTGATTAAATAGTTTATTCTTGCTATATTACTAGGAGTGTTGGACACTCCTTACGATAATTCACAGTTATTTTGTGGTGTTGGTAGTTGGTGCTAGACACTGAATTACTATTCGTCTATATGGCTAAGTATGGCACAGGTCTGTGTTAAGATCGGCCAGTTTATCCATTAAAAGCCCTATTTTTCTAACCAAGTGCCTCTGTTTTATCAAAAACTTACAGAAAGCTTGTCGATTGGTCGACGGAAGGTTGATGTGTAGCCCTTCTGTAAGGGGACAGGAGGTTAGATAATGCTCCGGAGAGCCAGTCTGTCCACAGGCGCACTGGCTAGTGTTACTTATCCCGCGTTTGTTAAAGTACTCGGGAAATGGTCCGTGACCCGTAATGTATCTTACCAATTGCATGTTTGCAAAATTTTTGGTAGTGTCCACGTAGCTGACATGGTAATAAGTCCGTCGGCCGGTATCGCTGTTATCCCATGTCTGCTGCCATTTCCCGATTGCCTTTAAGCGCAATGTTCTTTTCAGGTAAGACACTGGCCATGGGATGTTGATTTGTTGAGATGTTGCTCCTGTGGCAGCTTCTTTGGCTAGATGGTCAGCCAACTCATTGCCGTGGTGGCCGGCATGCGCTTTGATCCATTCAAGTCTTGTATGGAGTTGGGAATTTTTTCGCAGATCTTCCTGTATTCCCTGAATAATATCGGATGGGTGGTCAGGGTTTCCTATTGCGTATAGCGAAGAAAGACTGTCTGTCTTTATTGTAGCGTTGCGGGAGTGGTGGGATTGCAGGTAGCGGATTGCTTGCGCAATTGCCACTGCTTCTCCCTGAAAAACGCTATTAAATTGCCTTAGTTGACCCTTCCATTGATCTATGACTGTATCTTGCAGCATGACCACATAGGCACTTCCCACGTTTTCGTCTATCTTCGACCCGTCAGTGAAGATAGTAATCTGTGCTGGACGGTGGGCCGTAGTTGGATTGGTAATTATGCTTATTCCGGTGCCTTTGGCTGCTGGATGGATTTTCAGAGGGCAGCATTTAGCTTCATAGTCCTCTGGATTAAAATATTCTTCCTCAAAGGTGACAGGTCTTTTAAGCTGCAGGACGATTTGTCTTGCTGCCTCCTCTTCGACACGGATGTGTAGGGGAAGAAGGCCAGCCAGCACGTTGATCGCGTCTGAAGACGTCGTGCGGTAGGCTCTAGTGATACCCAATGCAAAAGGTCTTTGAATGGTAGAAAGGTGTTTAATTTTCCTGCTTTGCATTGGGTGAGCCCATACTGCTGCTGCATAAGTGACTATCTTTTCCACCACTGTGGTGAAGAGGACCTTCTGAATATGAGGATTGAGGCCCCATTTGTGGCCATGAAATAATCGCATTTGCTTCGCTATTGTCACTGTTCTAATTTTGATGTCCTGGATGTGTGGTATCCAGGTCATCTTGTGGTCGAACGTAAGGCCCAGATATTTTAGTTGATTGACTATTTGTATCCTCTGATTGTTGATCTTAATGGTTGGTCTTCTTGAAAGAGAACCTCCCTTTTTAGGTATTAATAACACTTTGGATTTGTGCTCTGCAATTTTCAGTTTAAGGTTGTCACATAGGGCATAGAATTGTTGGCACACTTCGTTACAGTGAGTCTCTAATTCTCTTCGGGTTCGACCTTTCACTATTAGCGCTGCGTCGTCTGCGTAGGCGTAGATCTTTGTGTGCGCTGGCCATGTAGCTGTTAAAAAACTTCGTTGAAAGTTAGATTCCACAGGTGTGGACCAGCGCACGACCCTTGTGGACAGCCTCTCGTCTGCTCCTGTTCTATTATGCCTGAGTTGTGAACTGCTAGTAGTCTTCTATCCTGTAGATAGTTGCTTAGCATCTTATACAGGTTGCTCGGACATTTTGCCTTCCGCAGAGCCTGTTTGATAGCCGGCCACCATAATGTATCAAAAGCGTTTTTGAGATCTATGCTTATCATGGCAGTATGGTGGCCGCTATGTCGATTCTCTAAAATTGCTTCTCTAATGTCGAAGAGTAGGTGGACTGTAGAAGTGCCCGTCCTAAACCCGTATTGTCTCGGGCTTAAGAATCCTTGCGTGTGTAAATGGTACCGTAGCCTGTTCATGATAATCCTTTCTAGTACCTTACCCATTGCCGATAAGAGACAGATAGGACGAAAGGATGTGGCCTCGGCTGGGTTCCGGTTCTTTTTCAGAAATAAAATAACTTGCCCTATCTTGTATGGTTTTGGGAATATACCTGCTGCCAGAAGCTTGTTGAAATAGTCAACAAAGAATTTAGGGTGAGTTTTGATCGTTGCTTTGGTGATAGCATAGTCCATCCCATCGGGCCCAGGGGCTTTCTTGCGCGGCAGAGTTGCAAGAACTTTTTGAAGTTCATTAATTGTAATATCCGGGTCTGTTGGGGTGTCCAGTGTGGTTGTTACTGTCCTGAGAAGAGCTTGTTCTGTTGTGTCCTGCTGTAGTACATCATCTTTGCAGAAAACTGCGTTTAGGAGCGTACGTAGGGTGTCTGCCGTGTACTCCTGACTGTTGGTGATTGAGAGAGGGATCTGTAGCTGCGAAGGTTTAAAAATTTTACCGGTAGCTATTTTGTGGTGAATACCATACGTCTTTTTTGCTTGGGTGCAGAATTCCCTCCAGGAAGTAATCTTAGCCTGAATAATCATCTTTTTGTACCGCGCCCGCTCCCGTTGAAATATGGTGAGGGTGTTGGACTCTATCTCCAACCGTCTTTCGCTTTTGAGTTTTCTTCGCAGTGCTCTGCACTTTCGTTGCTGTATTCTGAGCGCACTCGACCACCAGTGAATGCCTTGGAGTCTCTTAGGTTTTCTAAGAGGGAGATTTTCATTACATATGGCTTGCATTGTTTCTTGTAATGTTACGGAGAAGTCTTCTAATTCTGCTGACGTGTTAGCTAGTTGGAGCGAAGGTTCGAGGCGCATTAGCTGCACTTTAATTTTCTTCGTAAATGTTGTTAATTTTCGGCCAGGAAGGTTATAGCGTTTGATCTTGGACACGGAGGTGGTCTGCGATATAGAGAAGGTAATGAACTTGTGATCACTGAGGCTCTCTTCCTCTTCTTCTCTTCGACTTTCCAGTCCTGCAAAAGAGGTGCTACGTGCAGAGTGGTCAGGGTGAGGTCTGGCCATCCCTGCGCAAAGACCCTGTCGAAGGATGGTGGTGCATCTGCTGTATTCTGGACTATTAGATTACTTGAGGATATGAAGTCCTCTAGTTCTCTCCCTTTCGGGTCTGTAGTTCGATATCCCCAGGCCGTATTATGTGAATTGTAATCGCCTGCGAAGATCATATTTGGGATTTTAAATCGATGTATGATACACTTTGGATGAATCTTGTCGTCGGGCCAATATCCGCTGTTGGAGGAGAATAGATCGACGCTAAGATAACAGAGAAGGAATGTACTTCTACGAGCACTGCTACATGATCTTGATCGAGTGAGATAGATGTTGGAGACCAGTCTGGATTACAGCTTATTATTATAGCTCTTGGTGGATGGTCGTGATTGGAACTTTGAAATACTGTCCATTGCAATGGAAAACCTGCTGCCGCGCCATCGCGGGTATATGGCTCTTGACCTATGATAAAGTCTATTTTATTATCAATTGCGAATTGAACTGTCTGAGCGACCGCAGCCCTGGCTCGCTGCATATTGATTTGTAAAAATCTGATGGGTTCTTCGTTTGAGTTAAACACTGTATTTATCTGAACGTTTTGCGCTTGTTGACTTTCGCAATTACGTGGTGTGTTGTTATTAATATTGGGTGATGCTGCGGATGTAGGCAGCTGCTCGCTGGTATTCTGCGCATTCAGTTGCGTAGGCTGGGTGCCTACAGTCGTGCATGGTTCCATGTCTATCGTTTGCGTCACGGCAGTTAATACATTCTGGTAGTTCTGCTTTGCAGTTTTTGACATTGTGCGGTCCGGCGCAGTAGGCACAGAAGTTCTTCTTGCATGTGCATTTATTCTGGGTATGTCCGAGCTGCTGGCACTTGTAGCAGCGACGGATGCCCAGGTACTCTGTGATTGCGTGTGCGTGCCAGCCTGTGAAAATTCGTCTTGCCCTAAGAACTGCCGGAAGGATGGACGGTTCGGCACTCCAAAACCCATTTGACTCGCTTTGGGTTCCGTTCTCGGAGTCTGAAGAGCGCTTTGATGCCTGTGGATGGGATTTCTGCTGTTGCAGCGATTTCCCCGATGAGTTCCTCGGGCATGATGTTGTCCGGGACGCTATGAACTGTGCAGCGTGGCTTTCTTCTTTGCCGTCTTTGCAGATCAATCTCAAGGTTGGCATTTTGTAATTTCTCTTCTAATTGATCTATGTCTTTAGTTGATTTGCAAAAGACCTCTAACTCTCTCCTTTCGATGTTGAGGAGATATGCTCCACCACCGCAATTTGTAGGCTGCTAATCGGGGCTTTTTCTTGGAGCTCCTTCCTGAGTTGTGCTTCTCTTCTTACCAGTAGGCTTTATTATTAAACTAGGCCTCTGTGTTAGTTTCACTACTTCTGCAAAAGAGCGTGGGGGTGGCTCCTGTATAACTGCTGATGTTGCTGCGTCAGAAACTGATGCACTCAGTGCAGGAAGATCGCTCGAGGTTGTAGAAATCTGTGCGCGTACTGCTTCGCAACAGACGAAGGTGGATGTGTTGACCCCAATTTCAATTGTCTCAGGCTTCAGTGTGTATTCCGGGCCTTCTAGAACTAGCCCTTGTAGAACTTCTAACGACTTTTGTATGCGTATCCTTACGTCGTTTGGCAAGAGGTACTTGTTCCTTCTGGATGTCGCCGAGGCCTGTCTGATATCTTCTGCTAATGCTACGATTTTCTCTGCGTGCGTCCGATCTGAAGAAAGTAAGGCAAAAGGGTCTAGTATGCCATTGATAGGGGTATGGTCTTCTTCAGTCGGTACAGCAGATTTTCGTTGCATGGCAAGGAAGCACTATTCAATATTGCAACACTATTCAAAATTGATGTCACACAACAACTGATTCTTAACATTCACGAATATGATAGAGAGGTATGCAATTGTGTTTGAAAATGCAGTTGATTGCACAGTTCAGTAATACAGGGAATATTATCAAGATAGCAGTACTGAACAAAAAAATAATAATAATAATAATAATAATAATAATAATAATAATAAAGTTCAAAGTTCGGTACAGGGTATTACTGCATTAAAGTTTAGTCAGTGTCACAGATAGGACTAACTCAGTTCAGTGAGAAATATGTTACACTGTGGACTATTAAAAGCCTAGTGTAAAAGCTGTCACAGTAAATAAAGAACTTGTTGCTTTGATGCAGGTTCTAATGTATGTGTGGCATACACTATATTAAAATAACACTATCACTATAGCAGTACAGATAACAGAGACAAAGTGACACTATAATTAGGGTAGGCTGTGAGTAAGTACAATTTAAACAGTAAGCCTAGTAAGAAGTCACACCTGGGGATATCACACCTGGGGATGTCAGTGTATTATACCTTGCACTAACCACAAAATGTTCTGAAGTGTAGTTTGAGATTGTTAATATACGGGCCTACTGCTCCCTGTTTATCTCAGAATGCAAGAAAGATGAGGTAGTTTTACCTCAGTAGATTAACATTACAGTTAGTAGTATACAAGGATTATTCATTGACCATCTAGTAAAAGAACCGTGGTTGGAGAAATTCCTCTAAGTCCACTATGTGTCGGGAAAACTAAGAAAGAAGAGGGATGGACACTGAGAACAGATGAAAGAAACAAATTAGAAAGGGGGCAAGAAAGAGGGGGTAGATGAATAGTAGATGAAATTGTTAATAAGGGAGAAGAAGTGAAGTCAAACTGTGGTGGAGTGGAAACTTTGGGTTAAATAGTTACTGAGTAATAAGAGAAATAAAAAAGGGGGTTAGAATCAAAAGGGGGAAAGAAGGGTCGTAGAGAAAAGTGAGAGGTAAAATCGGAGAGGTAATAAGGAGGGAAGACAAACGAAGGTGGAATGGAGGCTCTAGGTGGTGTGGCTGCTGAGTTATTAGAGAATTAAAAAGTGGGGGTTGTGAATTAAAAGGGGGAAAGAAGAAGGGGTAGGGGCTTATAACTTCTTAACTATAAGTAAGGTGTCTACGAAAAGGGAATTTTGTGTAGAGAGTGAATAAAAAGAAAAGAAGGTGTTAGAATGTTACAGGGAAGAGCTGCAAGAGAAATAAAACGTAATTAAATACAATTAAACGTAATTAAAATAGGAATAGCACTGAAACTAATGGAGTTAGAGAAGAGGGGGAACTGGGGATGTCAATAGGAAGGAAAGGGGAACCTATGTATGTAATTTTGTGGGGCTAGCTTGGGTTTAAAAAAAAAAGAAATTGGGGGGGGCTTAGCGTATGATTAGTCTAAAAAGTGTTCCTGTGTGTGGGGTACTTATCCCT